TAATAGAAAATCATACCTGAGTTACAATTCTGTTTTGTCATTTGCTAGCTATGTTCTATTGGCCAATGGCTTAGTCCCTCCAAGCCTCAGGAAGTATCTCATCAGGGAAATTGCTGTCCAAAAGAGGATAATGACACTTTGAATATTATATTGATAACTTACTAACCTTTGATTTTAGAAAATGTGTTTAGATATGAGATGCATATACTTTTTATTGATTTCCAGAAAACCATTTCTGAAATCGAAGTGTAATTTTATTACCCACAAGTTGTTGTTTTTCTGATGAAATACATGCAAAAGATGAGACACAATGTAATCATGGTTCCCAAAGCCTTTCCCATGTGGAAATGATTTGAGAGCTAATTATGAATTACAAAAATCTTGGAAATTTAATTTTCGTGAAGCAAGCCCTTTAAAATGAATTTCACAAAAAAATAGCCAGGCATAATTTGGGGCTCAAGATTTACTTTGACTCTTATATGTCCAACCTAGGTGGCTGATTAATTTCTTCTGAAAATCCTTTAAAGAATCCATAAATAATTTATTCCAATGTATCTAGTGTTTTTTTGCACTTGAAAACTCAGAAGTTATCTTAACAATTTATAAATAATTATCAGAGTAAATGCTACAGAGTATGTGGATTTAATACACACATGAACATACACACACATAGAAACGCAAACAACATTAAATAAAAATGAACAAAGATGTGTTTATCTCTTTAACACAAATAGCTGACAAGATAACGTACATAAAACAGGCTTGAAAGCCTTTTAAGATACATGTTAAATATGATTATAAATCTGGGAATGCATTTTAATTTAAAAAGAACCCCGAATAGGCATGACAGCTGCACACTGATCATCCACATTATCCCTCACTATGAACTAAGGCACATATTTGCAAGAAGGATGTGTAAAGTTTGATAGGTTGTCTATGATCTAGGAATCATGTAAAATTAACTTTTACACGTGATTGCAACCCACAACGTAGGCCCAGTAAAACTGTTCTCTAATGGATAACCAGTCAAATGGGTTTAATTTTTAGAAGTGGGTGGGGGTAAGTAGAAGGCATAGGCAAAGTAAGAATACATAGTTCATAATACTACATATTTCCATTTTCTACATAATGGTTTCAAGAAACTCTCAAATCTTTTCGTGAGGCTATTTCTTTTAAAATCTGTAAGTATTCACACAAAAGTGCCTTTAGATATGAGTCAACTATAATCAATAGCTTAAATCATAAAATTCCAGTCAGCATACATTTCTCATATCACAAAATTCTTGATCATAAGATGCTGGGGGAAAATGTGATTTATATATATAAAACCTCTAAATTGCATATAAATAGTAAAATAAAAATAAAATACACATCTATTAATTTATAACTGGTTTGATTCTGATACTTATCAAATAAATTTTCTTTCCTATTAATATTGGCAATATAATGAGTGATAGTAATTAAAATATGATGACTATAACATATATGTTCCTAAGCACAAAATATGTTGTATTTATTTTTTAATAAAATTTAATAGAAGTGTAAATTTTTCCTAAGGCTATCCCATCTGAAATAAACTACCTTCATTGAATTTAGGTGTGATTTAGTGTAAATATTTAAATAAAAATCAAATGAACATTACAAATAGTGATATTAATTTTAAACATTTTCTGGAATAAGTTATCAGTTGGCAGGCTCTTGGTTAAAAAATTACCAGCTTGTTTCAAATAAATACATATATTTACTTAAGATACATATATGTATATTTATAAGGATATATATATGTTATTTAATTGTTGTTTTCATTTGCATATAAGATGCTGTTTAGCTGCTAAGCAAAAATATTTGAATGTTTTTTGAATTAACACCCACACAAAAAAATACATACTAGATATAGATATGTAAGCTATACATGAAGCAGAAATTTAGAATAACCAAACTCTGATATCTGTTAATGGATTTAATTAGACTGTTTGAGAATAGAGATAAAAATATTGAATGAATGGCAAATAAATTTATAGGTATACAATTTACACAATCTAAGATTTGTATAAAAAAAATATGAGTCCATTTTTAAGATTGTTGATGAATGCTATCAGATATGTGTTCTAAATGAAATTTTGAACATTGTCAGTTAAAAATCATTGGACAGAAAATACAAAATTCTTAATTGTCACAGAGTAATTCAAGTAATCATAATATTATTTCTACATGAATGGAATCAAAGACCTTCATCCTTTAATGAATATATAACAGTTAATCCTCAGAATAGAGGCTTCAAATTTAGCCCTTACCTTGGTAAATATTTATACAAGAAGAAAGCCAATAAATATTATCAGGTGGAGTTAATCAATTAATTAAGTAATGAATGTTACAGGACAGAACTGTTTTACTAATGCTTTGAGACGATGAACAGATGGGGATCTGGATGCCAAAAACATTTTCTGTACCAAGTGGCAATCCAATCATGAACCCATTTTCTTCAAATCATTATTTTTAAAAGATACAATGTAGCATTCTATTTTAATAATCATATCGAATTCCCTTTCTTCGTTCCAGCTAGACAGTCCTAGTGTCCAAACACTTCAGTTGAGGAGACAAAGAGAAGCGTAAGAAAAAGGGAAGATAAAACTAGAATCCTGCTTTTGACTACCACTGAAGAGTTAATCCACTCCCCCACATTCCAATTTACAGTAAAATGAAATTGGCACATTAACCTGAAAGAAAAAAAAAAAAAGAAAGAAAGATGACCAAATTCATTCAGTGAATTCAGGCATATCCAATGAAGTAATAGTGAGTTTATGCACATCGAAAAAGCAATTTGGCTCTGAAATAGCAAAATTTACTTATACCTAGTGGGAAAAGAGGCAATTAAGGAATAATCTGGAAGTGCTTGAAAGTGAAATAAATAGAGAATTGGCTTGTGCTGAGTGTCAAGCAGCTTTAAAAGGGAATTCTGATGATCAAACACTCAAATAGAGTTCTCATTCCTCCTCCCCTCGTTTCTACAGAAACTCTATAAATTGTGAAACTCTTTAAGAACAAGGAGGAATATAACAAATTTGCAATTATGGAATGAGAATATGTGGGAAATACTGAAATAGAGCTTAACAAGAAATTTTTATTTCAAGAGAGAAATACTTAGTCATTTATTATAGTTATAAGTAGACTCTGAAACTGTCAGTCATGTCTTTGACAAAATGAACTGCATTCCAAGTGCCCACAAAGCAAAATCTGTTTCAATAGACAAGATAGAAATGGATGAAATAACATTAAAAAAGCAAAAAGAATGAAACTAAAAAATGAGATACCATTGAAAGTATAGTAGGTATAAAAATGGCAGTAGTATTTAAGGGCAAGAAGAGAACATAAAATGGTAAAGCAAGAAGGAAATAAATAGAGACAGGATATAAAACACATTCACACATTCTTATGAAATAGATTTACTCTAGGCACTTTTCTATATTTACTGGATCTTAGAGCTTTTGTTTCAGTCTCCCTGTTTAAATATCATCATGCTCACCTAAATACGTTTGAACCTTTATGTACTTGGAGCGCCATATGTGGTCTATGATTTTTAAAACACAGAAATAGAGAAAGTATAATTTCCTTATTAGAATCTAATAGAATTTCTGTTGTCATTGTCTGAGCAAAACGACATATTAAGACAATGAATCCCCTCCTGCTTAAAATGTGATACGACTTTTACAAATATTTCCATGCATTTACAAAGTTTCATATCATGATGATTCATTTATACTTACCCATCTTTCATGTTGGTGATTAAAAATAAATCATTTTAAATATGAGAACTCTTTGCACAAAATTTGCTCTACTTTTAAACAGATATTTGTATTATTCTGATATTTCCTTTAATAAGCTTGTTGAGAGTACATATAAAATTTGTGAAATATAACCAATATACTCTCTGAAGCTCATAGAATATTATTAATAATCATACATTATCAATTAAGATTGATAATATAGACAACTTATGTGGCTAAGTTAATCTAACCACTTACTTCAAAAAGAAATATATAATCAATTTTATCCAGCAGAAAAAATGTAAATAACCAGTAATACATTCTCACCTAGGAGTGATACTTGACTTATTTGTTTAAACTTACTAGACTGGCACCTCTAGGAAATGGTGAGATTGGGAGTAAAAGAAAGAGGAGAAATCACATTGTGTCATATTCTAATAATTTCAGCAAGTGTTTTTAAAATGATATTGTTAAGATGTTGGATTGGAAATCATCCTGTAGCGTTCTTATATTGTTAATGCTTCCCTTCATTTTTCCTATTTGCTATCATGGCCACCGAAATATTTAAAGTATCCACAGATTTGAAAGTTAAGATCTCTAGCTGTTTCCTTAAGCAGATACATTGATATATTTATGCATGAAACATTAAACCTATTAAAATCCATAAAATTAAAAGATATTAATGTGTAATTTTGAAAAACTAAACTGTCTTAATAATTTTAGAATATTTGTGAATGGAATTACCTAAAAATGATAACTTTGTAAAAAAAATACGGCAAGAGTTTTAGCTTCTTATTAACACTCTCAGTACAATACTGAAAGAACACCTTTTTGTAAACATATTTTGGAATTTTTAAAGTAAGTCACCTTTCTGCTCTTTAATATGACTGTCACAGCAGATGAACTGAAAACATACAGTGGGATGGTTGGTGATAGGATTGCATGATATTTTAGCAGCAAAGTATACCTATAATAAAATTAGTAATATAATTAATAGCCATATTCCTACATCTGCCTGAAGCACTTAATGATGGTAGGTATGAATTGCCTGAACTGTTAATTATTTTAGCTTACAAAACAGTTATTTTTATTCTGTTACATTTCTACCTAGCTGATATATAAATTGAGCACAGATAAACAGTTGAGTTTGCTCGGGAATAAACTTAGATACACTTATTGGTTTCTCACTGTTATTCATTTGAAGTACTGTTAAGTAAAAAAAATTAAGATCTTTGTCTTTTGTAAGAACATGTTTTATGTATGATTGAAGATTTTACAACACTCCAGAAAAGCCATCCGATGTTAGATTTAAAAATAAAATCGAAAGCATTTTCTGACATAGTACACATGAAAAATTGGAAATTCCAATATCTTCAATAGAATTTATAGAAAGTGTATGTCTTCTTGGAGTTCGACACCCACTTAACACAGCAGAAAATAAGGTACTATACTGTAAACAAAAAAGTACAGTAAAGGACAATTGTAAATTTACATAAGAATATTTCATAAACATTTTGGTCTTTCCATAACAGTTTTTATATAAAATGAATAAAAAAACCTTTAGACAGCTGTCATCACTCTTGTTTGACCACTTTTCACTTATATGCACACAGACATATTTATATAGCAATATATTGATGCACCGTTACATGGATATTAAACTATGATTACTGCTTGTAATTGAGATGTGCATTATTCAATCAACATTATCCATACTTGAAATACTCTTACATTATGTATTCTTGTCATGTTGTATCTATAAAAACATGAAAATATAACTTTACATTATTTCAATTATTTACATTAGTTCAAGCTTGACAGAGAAAAATTGATAAGCTACAATTTTTAGAAGAGTAGGCCCAGAGGTACAATAAATAGCATTAATTGTATATAGTCATTTCTTTTTCATTTTTAAAAACTCATTTTAATACAATATGGAAACAATTAGTCTGCAATTTGGTCATTCTAGCACTTATTATTAAAACTTAAAATGCACCTCCAGCATTCCTGATGAGGAGAGAAACACTAAAATTATATTGTATTACCTTGGAATCTGTGATTAGGGACAGCTAAATTTAGTGAAGAATATCATGATACCACATGCCTTCATGGCCAATGCAAGTGGTTGCTGTTAAACTCTACATTTTTCCTCCCTTCTATGAAATTCAGTAAGTAAGAATGTTTTAAAAGCACTTTGCAAAATACCAAGTGCTACACAAAGGCTTTCTTGACGAAATAACAAGAATACAAATACTAAAAATAAAAACTGGATGTCAGTAATTATTCAAAATCCTAAATTAATTAAATTTGAGGGGCTTTAATGGAAATAAGAGGTATTTTTATGAAGGGAAAGACAGATCTCTTAAATTCATTAACTAGAGAAATATAGGTTCTTTAGTCAAAAGCTACAGAAATGTGACATATTATCCACACTGCGCATATTCAAATAGCCATTCCACCTGAGGAATAAATACAAAAATAATATATTAGGGTTGTTTATAATTGATGTCAATGGAATGAAACTATATTGCAGGTGACTCAAACATATTTAAAATAGTCATAGTATATAAGGTTTATGACAGCTCTGATAATTTTAAAGGTAAAATTATATTTAGTTTATGGTATTTAATCAATGGGCAACTATTTTAAGAATTACTTTCAAGGCATTTCTAATTTCATTTACAATGAATATTTCTCTTCTGTAAGCTCAAACACTTTAAAAATGGAACTTCACAGATTCTGATAATTGTTAATATTAGCTTTTAAAATCTATTAGCATTAATCTACATAGATTAAATGCTTTTGAGTTAACAAACATTTCTTTATATATATTTAGATGTGTCAAAAACAGATTCAGATATTACTCTGGGGCAGGACTATACCTCAAAAATCACCTGGCCTTTTAAAAGGGAGAAATTTTCTCTGGGCACCTAACAAGTTGGTAGTATCTTTAAACTCACTTGATTTATGACCAAACTGTAGCTAAGCAAAATTAATTGGACCACTTGCAAATAAAACAATAGAAAAATGTTTATTTCAAATGTCAAGCATTGCCAAGTAATTTTATATTAACACCAAATGTTAAAGAATAGGATACATTAAAGTTTTAATAACAATATTAAGTTACAAGATTGAAATCTCCTCTTTGTTTTCTTTCCTTAGCATTTACATATTTGGCTTTGAAAAATAAGGAACCGGTACCTAAAGCCTTTTTCATTCACTTCCCACTCAGTTTAATTGTTTTTTGTCTTATTCAACCAATATGGAAGCAAATTTATTTAAAAGCCAGTTTGTTTGTGAAAATACCTAAAAATATTTTTAAATTTTAATTTTTTTCTTTTTTTTATAAAACATGTCACATCTTGATGCAGTTGATGTCAAGTGTGCTTAAGTCATTATGAATCAAGAGACTAACAATAGTGGCTGCAGAAACAGGTTTGTTGTCTGTACAAAGACTTCAGTTAAATTATAGTACTTCCATGTTAGCTGTGCATGTCCACCAAGCTTCGTCTGTAACTCGAGTAGAAACCGATGTTGTGTTTTAATTCATCATTCCTTACAATTCAAGATGAACTCCACATATTTAAGAATTCTTGGCTGAAAGAAAAGTCTTCAAGATACTGGATGCCTCTCACCACTTTGACAATAAACACACAAGAAAACCATTGTGTAAGGCACTCAAAAGGTTCTTATCAATCACGAGAGATCAGTCACACTGACATTCATTCCCATGCCA